ACGCTTCCGTTGCCGGTCTACTAGGGTACGTAGACATCACTCTCCCCTCTCGTTGCTATGCATCACCATGATCTTGCGTGTGCGTAGGAATTTTTTTGAAATTACTACGTTCCCCAACAGAAATACGGGCCCCAGAATGACAATCTCGTCGACTAGATGAACTAGGACGTGCGTCATGATATTGAAGAAGGATGGTGGGAACACCAGCTCAAAACTGACAAGACATTGCGCCACATCACTCCTCAGCCTTGGTACGATTTCTGGATCGATCACCTTCTGAGAGATTGCATTGAGGAATGCACATAGCTTCACAATGGCTAATCAGACGTTTTCCGGTAGAAGCCCCCTCAATGCAACCGAAAGCAGTTGCGTCATAATCACGTGGCAGTCATGAGACTTTAGGTTCTGAAACTTTTTCTCTAGCATATTTATTATTCCCTTTATATTCGACGAGAAGCCAGTCGTGACCTTCATACTGAGCAGGCATTCAAAGAAGATTTCTTTCTCTTCTTTCATAAGAGCGAAGCTGGCAGGACCTTTATACTGCTTCGGAGGCATGCCTTCCTTTTTGTGCAAACGTTGCAGGTCCTCCCGTGCCTCACGTGTATCTTTCGTCTTCCCATACACGCCCAAGAAGCCTAGCAGGTTCACGCAAAGGTTCTTCGTCACGTGCATCACGTCGATTGAAGAGCGGACCTCTAGGTCTTTCCAGTACGGTAGGTCCCAAAATATAGATTTCTTCTTCCACATGGGTGCGTGTCCCTCAACGTCATTCGGAACAACTAGTCCGTTGGGACCCTTTCCAAAGATTACATGTAAATCATTGACCATAGCAAGTATGTGATCACCGGTACGCATGGCGGGCTTCTTCCGGTGATCTGCCTCGCCTTTGAAATGCTTGCCTTTCTTTCGACATTGATGGTTGGTCGGAAGAAATCGACAATGGCCCAGGTACACATTCTTCCTGCATTTGTCCAGGTATATACTTTCAGTGTCATCTAAACAGTGCGTGCATGCGTGGTATCCTTTGTTTGTCTATCCTGAAAGGTTACTGAGAGCGGGCCAATCGTTGATGGTCACGAACAGCAACGCCTTTAGGTTAAATTCCTCCTGTCTGTGCTCATCTCATGTACGTACACCGTTTCCATTCCACAGCTGTAAAAGTTCTTCAACTAATGGCCTTAGGTACACATCAATGTCGTTGCCGGGTTGTTTAATTAGGGCCTTGGATGAGAACTGGCATCATAATGAACTCTGCTTCATGCACATCCAAGGAGGAAGGTTATACATACATAGAGTCACGGGCCAGGTGCTGTGATTGCTACTCTGCTCCCCGAAAGGATTAATGCCATCCGCGCTTAAAGCAAACCATACGTTCCTTGGGTCCTTTGCAAACTCATCCCAGTACTTTCTCTCGATTTTTCTCCACTACGACCCTTCAGCGGGTGCTCTCAACTTCTCGTCTTTCTTACGGTCCTCACTGTGCCATCGCATCAACTTGGCATGCTCTTCGTTTCTGAACAGACGTTTCAACCGTGGTATTATAGGAGCATACCACATCACCTTCGCAGGAACCCTCTTCCTGGGGGGCTCCCCGTCAACATCACCAGGGTCATCTCGTCTAATCTTATACCGCAATGCACCGCATACCGGGCATGCGTTCAGATCCTTGTATGCACCGCGGTAGAGGATGCAGTCATTAGGGCATGCATGTATCTTCTCCACCTCCAATCCTAGAGGGCATACGACCTTCTTTGCTGCGTATGTACTATCGGGCAATTCGTTATCCTTTGGAAGCTTCTTCTTCAATATTTTCAGTAGCTTCTCAAATCCTTTGCCAGGCACAGCATTCTCTGCCTTCCACTGCAGCAATTCCAGTACGGTACCGAGCTTTGTGTTGCCATCTTCGCAATTGGGGTACAACCCTTTTTTGTGATCCTCTAACATGCGATCGAACTTCAGCTTCTCCTTTTGACTTTCGCATTGCGTCCTTGCATCGACAATGACCCGGCGGAGATCATCATCATCGGGCACATCGTCTGGTTCCTCTTGATCTTCAGCAGCTTCACCCGTTGCAGCATCATTGGACACATCGTCTGGTTCCTCTTGATCTTCATCAGCTCCCCCGTTGCAGCATCACCGTATTCAGGGGGCACATAGTTGTCATCGTACTCTTCTTCTTCGTCGTCTTCCATCATAACCCCTATTTCTCCGTGCCTCGTCCAAACATTATAGTGTGGCATGAAACCCTTGTAAAGCAGGTGAGAGTGAAGGATTTTCCGGTTAGAGTAAGACCTCGTATTCCCACATTCAGTGCATGGACAACACATAAAACCATTCTGCTTATTTGCCTCAGCCGCATCGAGAAACTCATGCACGCCCTTAATGTACTCGGAGGTGTGTCTGTCACCGTACATCCATTGCCAGTTCATCTGCGTGTATTATATATAATTAAGTGTCCAAATTAATAAAAGTTCATCATCACATTAAAACCAAAGTACATACATAGTTCTCATCTAACGACATATAGCTCTCTAGAGCATCTAATTAATTAAACCATACATTGAAACTACGTAAAACATTTCAATGCGAAAACAAATGCGATCATAATCGCAACCAAGGTAACAATTGATCCAACGGCATAATGATACCAAGCCTCGGTATGAATGGCATATTTTATAATCTTTTTAATCTTCAAGCGCATTGCATCCATCTTGATCTTGTGATCATCGACGACATCCGCAACATGCAACTCCAATATCATCTTCTCCTCCTCAATTTTTTTATTTTTTCCTTCAATAAATTGTTTTCTTCTTCAACTAAATTTAACCTCTCGACAATAGGGTCGGTTGGAATTTCCGATTCACATACATCCTACATAAATAAAATCTATGTCACGTTGGTCGGCATAATTTTCATAAACAATAAATGAACCAATAGTTATAAAGATAATATATATACCACATCCGAATCATAGACAGGACAAGAGCCGACAGGGGCGGATACCAAAACCATCGCACTATATAAGATGCAATAATAAAAGTAAGAAAATAATACAAGTATCTATGTAAACATACAAGTAAGAATATTTTTCCTTTTAGAAAGAAGATAATAACAAGAGGCTCACCACGGTGGTGCGACGGTGGTGAAGACGGGGACGGGGCGTGACGGACCGCTAAACCTAGACAAATATTGAGAAAAATGAACCTTGGAGGTCAAGCTTGGAGAGGAGAAAGCTTAAGTAGTGTGGCTCGGGCATTCCATCGAACACCTTGTGTGCATAGGAGGTGAGGTAGAGCACCACCAAGCCCTCTCCCTCTCGGCCAGAAAAAATAAAGCAGTGTGATCTGCTCTTACGCGAGGGGGTATATATAGGTTCTAGTTTCTTTTTTTGCTTCGCAGACTCTCGCATGCGGACGACGCCTGCATCCCTACCTGCGCGTAGCATATATTCCCCCGAGCAGAGATCTTGCTTGCGTTGGGCGAATACGATTGGACAGACTAGCTTTTTTTTTTTGAGAGAGAGAATATTGGACAGACTAGCTGCTAGTAGTGTTCCTGTTGGTTGCAACGCACTTGATCCACGGATTAGCTAGTGTGTCAACAGTGGGGATGTAGCTCAAATGGTAGAGCGCCCGCTTTGCATGCGGGAGGCACGGGGTTCGATCCCCCGCATCTCCATCCAAGTTTTTATTTTTGTTGGTGTTAATTCCAGCAATTAGACTACCATTCAATTCATTTTACCCCTAAAAAAACCCTTTACGTGGTAACTTTTGCGGAGCTAGCCAATTCTATGAAAAAAAGAATAGGAGGCAACTTTACGTGGGAGGTAAAACGGCTTGGAATTGGTCTGGTGTTTCCAACACAAATTCATTGTACAACCGAACATCCGTATTGAGGTCAACTGATTACCAATTCCGTTTCTAGGCTTCAATGGAAACATCAAAACCCAGCGTTAGTGAATTGTGTTGACGATTTGATCTTTCTCGGTGCCCTTTGTTTATAGTTGTTGGCTTCCTCCTTTAGTGGGGCTGCAAGTGCAAAACAACCATAAACTTCCAATGGATAGGATTTCTAGCTCCATTCAGATTCACACGGTATCATCTAAAAAAGTGGGCTGCAAGTGCAAAATAACCTAAAACTTCCAAAGAGTTACATAACTTGCATCATTCTCGTGCTAGAAATGTAGTGGAGCGAACATTTGGCCAAATACGAATTCATTGATATAATTATTGTCCCGCCGCAATCAGTCTTGATAGTTAAAATTTACGGTCAAAGTTGAAGCACGTGGATAGAGGAAGCACTACATTGTGGAATGGAGGGAGTATAAAGGCTCATGTACCTAACGTAAATATGTTGTCGAATAAAATAACTATGTGAATGCAGGAATTATTTACTAGTATAAACTAAAATATGTAAATGAAATGTTGCAGGGAATGCGCAGCATGTTATGGAGGAAGTTGCAGGGAGTGTGCAACTTTACACAACTTTCTTTTATGGCAATTTAGTTGTAAAAACACGTGTTACTTGGTGTCACACTTGTCAATTGGATTATATATTTTGTGGGGAACGTGTTAGTGAGAGAGATGCAACGGAGAAAGAAGAGACGGGACCGCACAACGGCCGGTGTAGGGTAGGTCTACAGACAAGACGAAGACGCTGCGCGGCTCCTGGACCGTCAATGTCACCACCGGGCCACGACGGTCGACAACGATCTCCTTGCCGATCGTTCCCCACCGTCCAGCGCTCCTCGACACGAACACGTGGATCTGATTCTGAGCCAACAAAAATGACAAACGACAGCGCATACCCCACACATCCACCCAGATCGCCACGCAACGCGCGCACACACACGGAAGCCACTCTCCCCCCGTTATCCCCAGATCCAGCCGGCGCTCCCTCCCCTCCCTCCACCGCCCGGTCCCGACGCCACCTCCCCCGCTCCCTCCCCAACCCTCCGGCCTCCGACCAAGCTGCCCGCGGCCAATCCCTAAGCCGCGATGAGCTGGTGGTGGGCGGGCGCGGTGGGCGCGGTCAAGAAGCGGCAGGACGAGCGGGCGGCGGCGGCCGAGCCCACCTTCCAGAGCGTGGCGCTCATCCTCGGCTCCACGGGGATCGTCGGCACCTCCCTCCTCGACATCCTCCCGCGGGACGACACCCCGGGCGGGCCCTGGAAGGTGTACGCCGTCTCCCGCCGCGCGCCGCCGGGCTGGTCCACCCCGCCGCCGTCCCCGGCCGTCACGCACCTCCAGCTCGACCTCGCCGACCCGGCCGCCGTCAGGGACGCCCTGACGCCGCTCACCGACGTCACCCACGTCTTCTACGCCGCGTGGTCCAGCCACGAGACCGAGGACCGCAACCGGGAGGTCAACGCCGGCATGCTCCGCAACGTGCTCTCCGTGGTTGTGCCCGGCTGCCCCGCGCTCGCCCACGTCTGCCTCCAGACCGGCCGCAAGCACTACGTCGGCCCGTTTGATGTCATCGGCAAGATCCCGGCCCCCGACCCGCCGTACACCGAGGACATGCCCCGGTTGGATCACCCCAACTTCTACTACGACCTGGAGGACGTCCTCTTCGACCACGTCTCCGGCCGCGACGGCGCCGTCAACTGGTCCGTGCACCGCCCCACCGTCATCTTCGGCTTCTCCCCCCGCAGCGCCATGAACGTGGTCGGCAGCCTGTGCGTATACGCCGCCATCTGCCGCAAGGAGGGCGCCACGCTGCGGTGGCCCGGCTGCAAGGTCGCCTGGGAGGGCTTCACCGACGCCTCCGACGCCGACCTTGTCGCTGAGCATGAGATCTGGGCGGCCGTCGACCCGTTTGCCAAGAACGAGGCTTTCAATTGCAGCAATGGGGATGTGTTCAAGTGGAAGCAACTCTGGCCGCTGCTGGCCGACCGCTTCGGGGTGGAGTGGGCAGGGTATGAGGGAGAGGACAGCCGGTTTGCGCTCGCGGATGCCATGGCTGGGAAGGAGGCGGTGTGGACGGAGATCATCCAGGAGAACGAGCTTGTCACCACGGAGCTCGAGGAGATCACCAGTTGGTGGTTTGTCGATGCCATGCTCAGTATCGACATTGAGCATTTGGACAACATGAACAAGAGCAAGGAACATGGGTTCCTCGGCTTCCGTAACACCATCAACTCCTTCAATGCTTGGATCGATAAGATGAAGGCTTCCAAGGTTGTTCCTTGATGCTTTTATTGTCTTGTATCTATTGTTGGTTACAGCATGCTATCGCATCCCATGTTATTTCTCATTTATCAATTTATTTCTGAAATTAGTTACATCCCATCATTTGTGCCAAATGTTGTAATCTAGAATAAGCCAGAACCAAATAAAGCTCTCAAGTTGTGAATCGATTATCTGTGCTCGTCATGTCTTCATTGCAAATTGTGAGCGTTAAATCGTTATTTTCCATCCATCTGCTGTTCATTCTTGCAAGGCAGAAATTAGTAGCACTTGTGTTTGGTATTGTTGGCCTGTTGCTTTTGTCTTCAGAACTGAGATAGTTTCCTTCACTTAGAAGGAACAAAAGGCAACCATTTGTTTTCCCCATCTCTTTTGATTGATAGTGCAAATGGAGGCAAACATGATGACCGATAACAATGGCATCATGTCTTTTTCTGCCAATTATTTCAAGGAAGTTGATCTCGAGAAGCAACAAACATTGTGCTGATAGGACAATTTAAACGAACACTTTAGCTTTGATATGGTAGCAAGATAACAATGCATCATGATCATATCTACTAGTTGATTAAGGATTGAAAATGATACGTTTTGGGTCCTGGATCACAGGATCAGATCACTTGCACCGCACAGTAGGTGACGAGAATCTGAATAATGCTGTCTTTTGGGTTGTTGCTTTTTTTATCGCTGAATGTGTTCCTTGTGCGGTTTTCTTTGTGCTAGTGGACCGGATGACACGGAAACATGCAGTATATATTCAAAAATCAGTACTCTTGTATAAGATGACAAGATGTACACGCGAGTGCTCTGTTCTTGTACTAGCATTGTTAAATCTAGAAAAAGTATTGGATCTCTTTGTTTATTTATGCCCGGCCATGTGATTTACACCTCTGCTCTTTAGGAGACTGCTTGATAATGCCATGACCTTGATTGTGACCAGATCGTGGTTGTAATTCTCGCTGCCAAATGCTACTATGGGCTTCTTTTGCCATATGGTTGAAAACGAAATAAAAATGGTATATAGTCAGCAATCCGCAAAAACAAACCTTAGACAGTCTGCATTCACACATGCTATGCCTTCGTTCATAAATAATACGAGTCTCTTTGGTTTCCTCCAATCTCCTAAAAACTTACTTGTATTCTGTTTTTACATATGACAACTTATTGGCAGCCTATAGTGGATTTGGAAGAGCTGGGCAATTTATAATGATTACTAGGTCACACAGAACAAATGCAATTGTTAGATTCATGCACACTGTGTGGGGTTGTGCCATCACAAAAACTTCCCATGTCAATTTTTTTTTACCAAAACACCACCAACTAACTTGTCATGTTGATGGAGCACATTTTTTTTACTCACAATTAAAAATATAAAAGGTTAACATCAAGATGAGGTATTGTCAAATGTTGCTCCAGGGAACAAAGACATTCAGAAATCAGTATTTTCTGAATCTAAAATCATTATTTTCCATCCATCTGTTGTTCATTCTTGTAAGGCAGAAGCATTACATGTGTTTGGTATTGCTGATCTGCTACTGTCGTCTGTAAAGTGTTATGCTTCAGTCTTCAAAACTGAGATAGTTTCCTTCAAAACGAGAAGAACAAAAGGTAACCATTTTGTTTTCCTCATCTCCATTGATTGGTAGTGCAAATTGGAGGCAAACGTAATAGCAGATAACAATGGAAACATGTCATTTTCAGCCAAATATTCTCAGGAAGTTAATGCCCAGAAGCAACAAACACTGCTATGATCCCCGGAAGCAACAAACGATTCCATGATCTCCAGAAGCAAAATATTCTGCCATGGCAGCACAATTTTGGATGATCAGTTTAACTTGCAATGTCCCATCTTCCTGTAGTTTAATTTTTTATTCCCGCAAGGGGGAAAGCATGGAGCAAATCTTCAATTCAGTTTCTGGTACAAGGAAAAACTTTTAACACATCCCAACATTGACATCATTTGACTTGGTCTTGGTTCATAGCGTTCTGGGACATTACCCCCTTCGTCCTGTAATATAAGAGCGTTTTTGACACTAGGGAGTAATTGATAACCTCCAGCCTCTGGCCCGCACGGTTGATGATTGTTGATGTTGGCATGTTTCACAATTAATCCGATTTGGATTTGTCTGTTCTGTCTGCAACAATAGCCCCTAAAATGGGAGACCTTAAATCCATTATAGGATCAACTCCTATAATCTTTTAGGGGTTGCAGGGTGCTCCATCGTCTGAATCTAAGTATTGACTCTATATATTTCTTTCTACCTATACATGCGGGAGCGGGTCCATGCGACAGCCAATGTAACTGTAGTGCTGTTACATCAGAGGATTTGTACCCCTGACAAATAGACCCTGCCTGTCATACCGGCCGTGACCGTCACGGAGCCTGTGCAAGCCCCGGGGTGACGAGCTCAGCCATGGGCACGAAAATCGGGTGGACGACAGAGCCATGGGTGAGTTGATACTGGCCGTGACCGTCACGGAGCCTGTGCAAGCCCCGGGGACGAGCTCAGCCATGGGCACGAAAATCGGGTGGACGATAGTCATGGGTGAGTTGGAGCCTGTGCAAGCCCCGGGGACGAGCTCAGCCATGGGCACGAAAATCGGGTGGACGATAGTCATGGGTGAGTTGCAGCACGGCCACGGGAGGGCAAAGAGGTCTGCAATTTAAAACGATCAGTGATAGCTAAGTTGAACACTCCAGTGCTCTGCCATTTTACCATCATTGTTAAATCTAAGAAAAGTACTCATGATTTTTTTGTGCCGGGCCATGTGATTTACACCCTCTGCACTTTTGGAGATGCTTGATTTTTCATCACCTGACCTGTGAGCACTCTATGAACACATCTATCATCGCAGGAGGTAGTTGTGGCTGTAATTAGTTGCAGCTGATTGCTACCACGGGCTTCTTTTGTCATATCGTTGAAAATGTAACAAAAACATTATGAATGTAGTGAGCAATCAGCAAAAACAAACGTTGACAGGTCTGGGCTCGCACATCCTATGGCTTGGTTCCTAAATAGTACGAGTCTCTTTGGCTTCCTCCATTATCTCAATGCTTCCTCTTGCATTCTGTTTTCTCATATGACAACTTCTTGGCTGCACAATGTAGTAGGGCAGAACACATATATAGTGATTTCAGAACAGCTGGGCGATTTGTAATGGTTATTAGATCATATAAAACAAATGTGGTTGTTAGATCATCACCAAAACTGCATGCTGTCAATAAGATTCTTTTTAATACCAAAGCACCACCAAGTAAACTGTCATGTTGATGGAGCTTTTTTTTCACAATAAAAATAAAATAAACAGTTAACATCAAGATGAGAAGTTGCCAAGTGTTTCTTCAGGGAACAAAATGTCATGAACCTGGACCGGCCCAGGACAGCTGAAACGAGAGCTGAGAACGGCTTGGCCCAGCCCAACTTGGTTGAGTCCAGTGAGAGAGGTTAAGGGAGATGGGACAGAGTGCGATGGCATCGATGACTTATCTGTAGCCTGAACTAACTTTCCCCTTGTACAGTTGCTCTTCCTCCCCCCAAGAACTGTACTGAATCCTGCCCTAAATTCGCTTGGTGTGACACCATTGAGTGAAGGCTGTGATACAAAAACCCGACAATTGGTCTCTCCAGGAACATATATGCAGTCCTTTAGGCTTCAGGTATACACAAAGTGTGGATTATTTTCGAGAGTGGCAAATATGGAGTTGGTTTCTCTTCTTCAATATATACTCCAAGTTGGGATCTAATCCCCCATTTTTATAATGACTCTAATCTTCTTAAACCCGACAATTAGTCTCTCCGGGGATCTAAATTTGAAGTTGTTGCATCGTAGTTCTCAGCTGTCACCTTTTGCCTGACATCAAACCTTGAACTCATAGGGGCCGTTGGAATCAGACCTTGAATTCTCAATTTCTGAAATTGGCACCTTGTACTAGTACACAACAAACCGTCGTTTGAATTTCCATATGTTTCTACACATGTTGCAATGTAGAATAAACTGGTTGAAAATAAACTAGTGCATTTGGCCATTATTTTCCATCCAATTGCCCGTTCATTCTTGTAAGGCACAAGTAGTACATGTGTTGTGTTTGGTATTGTTTATCTGTTGCTGTTATCTGTAAAGTGTCATGCTTCAGTCTTCTGAACTGAGGGGAGTTTCCTTCTCTGAATGAGATGAACGAAAGGCAACCATTTGTTTCCTCAACTCTGTCGGTCGGTAGTTCCAATGGAGGCAAACGTGATTTTCTGCCAACTATTCGCAGCAAGTTGATCTCCAGAAGCAACAAACACTGCTACGGCAGCACAATTTTATACGGCCAGTTTAACTTGAGCTGCCCCATCTTAATTATTGTTGTCCTGATATAACCTCTAGCCGAAAGCTGGCTCGTTGATTGATTTCCCAAAATGATTGATGGTTGGAATTATCACTAGTTGGTATTGAAAGCCGATTTGTGATTCTTGCTCTGCTTGGCCTGTTGCATCGGTCATCTATAAACAGAGTGCTCTGCCCAGCCCACGCCTTCCCTTGTCTAGTGCTCAGTCACAGCGACACCACGCGTTCCCCTCGTCCGCCGCATCGGCTATTGGCATGCGGGCTATCTGTCGTACGTCGCAGCTGGTGCTCCGACTACACCGTCGACCGACGCAGCAACTGCACCGGCGTCGATATCCACTGCTTCCGCCGTTTGGCACTGAGTCATGCTAGACCGCCACTTTGTCAACGTCTGCTTGGGCAACACAATGTGCTTTGGGCTGGCTTTTCCTCAACATTTTCCCTCAAGTCATGGCTCCGTGGATGCGGCACAGGATGGCCCTTAGAAACTCTGCCACTGCTAGCCTGTCAACCCGAGCGGTCTATCTTTTTGATAATTCGTTCTACTCTATATATATATAAGAAATTCCTTTTTGGATATAGTGTTGTGTCACGCAAGGGCGTGTGTTCATACCACTATTGGTTCATATGGCGTGGCAAGATTCGTTGTTGTTATTGCTAGGGAATAGAGATGATTTTTTTTTCTGTTTGTGAAAAGATATGATATGGAGTTTTTTTCTGTTTGTGAAAAGAGATGATATGAAGTTGAGTAAGGTGCATTTTCTCATGATATTATTCTCAGGAAAGGACCAACCACTATCGGCACGTCATTTTCCTTCTTACTGAATTATGTCGAGCCGCTTGGATGGGAGCCGTGTGTATCTCCGTCGCCTGATGGAGTAATGATGGTGGCAAAAACTTAATGGTGAGCCCAGCAAACCATCTTTTTAAAAAACTTGGTGAAACAGAAGACCGAGGAGAAGTGGAAAACGCTCTCATCACCCTCTTTGTGTTTTAGAGTTGCTTCATGTAGACTGTGCCTAGCAGATGCAAGAGGCCGTTAAGCATCATACTCTCCATTATCATGCAGTAGGCATCGACACATCACTTTGTGTTGTCGTACTTGTACATCACCAAGAAAACTTGGGGGAAAGCTCTGTAAAATTGCTCATGGCTCCCTCCTTACTGAATTATGTCGAGCTTCTTGGATCGCAGCAGTGCGTACCCACGTCCGCGGGATGGTGGCAAAAAGTTAATGGTGAGCCCAGCAGACCAACTTTTCTGGCACCCGGTGAAACAGAAGACCGAGGAGAAGTGGAAAGCCCTCAAATCACCCTCTGTGTGTTTTAGAGTCGCTTCATGTGGATTGTGCCTAGCAGACGCTAGAGACCACGTTCCTGCACTCTATTTTGCCTCAGTAATTTGAAGAAACAAAAATCCAGCAACAAGCACCATCATATGCCTTGCCTGGAGTTCCTAAATCGTAGGCGTCTCTTTGGTTTCTTCCATCATCTCAACACATACTTTGGCACTCTACTTTCTTTTTCAGTATGGCCACTTCATGGCACATCATATACTAGTACGACAGAAATGTGTAGGAGTAAAGATTTTGGAACCGTTGGTAAATTATAATAGCGAGGTCACACAAAACAAATGCAACTGCCACATTCATGCAATCCCTGTGTCAAATATTACAGAAACTGTTATTCATGCATTTCCTGTCCTCGTGTCTGTTTTTTGAACTCCGTGCCATGAGATATAGTTAGTATATTTTTCTCCGAAAGTGTTACTCTAATCTCAAGCACAAATGCACCTGTATGAACAGTAAATTCTAAAAAATGTTAAAAAAATTCAGAATCTAATTTATTTTTTCTGGATGAAATCAACAAGTTTCTGACATCCTTCAAAAATTCGCCTTGAAAAGTCATCTGTAGAGGTGTGTGCGAAAAAAAATGAGTGCTTTAAAATGCGTCTTTTCTTAGTCCCGCATTTTTGTTTGTACAGGCCTCCACAAATGTCTTTCCAATGTGAAATTTCGCAGGATGTTAGAGCTTTCGGTGATGTTCATAAACAAAAAATCAGATATTTTTAATGGCCTTGGTCTTGAAATGTTGTTTTTTAGTACTTAAGAGGGGAAAAAGTAGCGCATCATTCAAAGTAGATTTGTGCTATAAAGCATGATCCTATAGTACAAATCACATGATCCAACTATTTTTGATAAATCAAGTGAGCACCTCGCATTGTCCAATTAATGCGTCCCCTAGCGTTGTCGCCACGCCAGCAACTAGACCACAACTTTCCGTCGCCATTCTCCGGCTAGCCACCCGCCGCATGAGGTCCTCCGTGGTGACTGTGCAACCTGTGCAGCAAAGCTGCATCGGAGGTGGGCACCGCGTCGTCGACGAAAGAAGCCAGGTCTGCAGTGGAGTAACCCACAGCGAGGGCCGTAGAGACAGAAGTAGTACTCGTGTTTGGTATTGCTCAGCTGTTGCCGTTGTCTGTAAAGTTCTATTCTTGAGAACTGAGAAAATTTTCTTCTGTCAGAAGGAACGAAAGGCAACCATTGGTCCTCAACTCAGTGGAAATGGAGGCAAACGTGATACATAATAACAACGGCAACATGTCACTTTCTACCAAATATTTCCAGGAAGTTGATCTCCACAAGCAACAAATGCTGCTTTATTTTCGGAAAGACTGAAAGCCATATATTAGATAAAATCAGCCCTTACAAGAACTTCTTAAAAAAAGCAACCAATGAGCTTTTCTTTGCAGGGTAACCCAGGAGCTTGAAGATGCAGCGGCTGGGAACCGGAGGAAAAGAACATGGCGTGGCATCATCCCCTCCGTAGGATGCCGCCAAGCACCTAGGCAAATACTGTACTTAAAAATACGAATGTACTTAAAAACCATGGAGAAACATCCTCCTTTCAGCAAGACTGTACTTAAAAATACGAACGTCGCGTCATTTGACTTGTGTTCACAGCCTTCTGGGCGGTTAATTGCAATGTTTGACAATTATATCACTGGTTGCTTATTGAAATCCGATTGGGGGTCATTTACATGCTCTGCTTGGCCAGTTGCATCTGCCGTCTATGAACAGAGTGCTCTGCCCAGATGCGGCCCTGTGGAGGGCTCAGCCACAGCAACACGTACAAGCTATAGATGGCGCTATAGATGGCAGATTGGTCGTCGCTTCTGCCCGTTGTCTGTCACAATCGGCGCTCCAACACCGTCAACCCTCGCTTGAGCCGCATGCCATCTCCTCTGCTTCCACCTTCACCATCTCCACGAGAACTGCATATACTACTGAGTTGCTGGCCACTGTTGCTAGAAAAAAGGGAAGCAATCAGCAGCGTCACATACCGAGCCTTGAATTCCTAAATTCTAGGCGTCTCTTTGGTTTCCTCCATTGTCTCAAGTTCTCAACACTTACTTTGGCAATCTGTTTTCTTTCATATGCCTCTTGGCACATCATATACTATTAAAATAGAGGATTTTGGAACAGTTGGGCAATTTATAGTACTTAGGTCACACAGAAAAAATGTGATTGTCTCATGCAGTCCGTGCCAATTTGACAAAAACTGCAATTCATGCATTCCCCGTCCCTAGTAGATCTTTAAGAACAAAACCTCTATGCCACCAGATATAATTAACATTTTGTTTCGAGCAACCAGCAAGAGCACCGGCTACTAATATAGAAGGGAAGAGGTGAAAAACCAATATATACAGAGTGGCACACGTTTTGAAGGGGTCGTGACAAACCGTATAAATACAACTCAGCGTTAGCCAATGCCCATCGTGGGCAAGTGTCCGGCAAACGACCCTTCTCTCCGCTTGATGTCGTCAAAGGCCAACATCGCAACCTCATAGTGCGTCATGCGGTGGCCCGTAAAAAATATACATGTTCGTTTCCTTTCAAATTTCGAGATGGTATAGATGAACCTACCACTGGGCCGTCCGCGCCCTTTTTGACTCCTTGGTGATTAACTCATCCCACTAGTTGGAGAAATTGCCAGGGTCTGGCAGGAAACTCGTAACAGGAAAATCCTCGTGCGTCCAGGCGGAGACGTGGTTCCAGACTGCCACCAAGAAGGGATAGGCCTTGCACACGTGGGTCGCGGTTCCGGGGCCTAGAGACACAACTGGCATCTAGGATTGTGCGGCCATCCATCAACCGCCAACATATCTGCCTTTTCTCAAGAAAACAATCTTATTTATGCTACAAATATATCCAAAAATTAAATATAAATGGTTAACATCAATGTGAGGGATTTTCATATTTTACTTTTGGGAAAAAAATTAGAACCCTAGAATTTGTGTGCAATTTCTTGATGGCACCGACTTTTACAGAAAAAATAGAAGGAAGGTTTTGTTCCTCAAATGTTCTTCTTACTTTAGAAGAAAAAGGTAGTGCATCATTCAAAAGTAGAGTTGAGCTGTAAAGCATGATCTTATAGCACAAATCGTCTGGCCGGCTATTTTTGATCAATCAAGCAACACCTGTATGTGTCAACGTAACTAAACGAATGACTCGTGCATTTGCGAGATCAGAATAATTATGTGTTATTGCATTGATGTTTTTAGAAATCATCATGACCAAAACATTAGGATAAATTATAATTAATGCATCTGCTCAACGACTTCATCCACGTCTTCTACGCCGCGTGGTCCAGCCACGAGACCGAGGACCGGAACCGGCATGTCAGTGCCGGCATGCTCTACAACGTGCTCCCCGTCGCGGTGACCAGCTGCCCTGTGCTCGCTCACGTCTGCCTCCAGACCAGCCGCAAGCACTACGTTGGGTCGTTCGACGTCATCGGCAAGATCCCGGCCCCCGATCCACCCTACACCGTGGACATGCCCCGCCTCGACCATCCCCAACTTCTACTACGACAGTAGGACGTGTTCTTCGATCGACGAGGTCTTTTAAATCTTAGCCGTTAATATCTAATATTTACGGTCAGGATAATTTAGACTATGCGGATGAACGTGATGGCTTATTTGACTTCTATCTTAAGTATATAATAGATAATTCCTTTCTCATTTATCACTTTGTATGCTTGGGAAGATCACATGCTGTAATCTAGAATAAGCTGGTACAAAATAAATCGTTGTTTGGATTTCCATATGTTTCCATACATGTTAGTATAATCTAGAATATACCAGTAGTTAAGTAAACTAGCGCGTTCGGTGATTGTTTTCCATCCAGATGTTGTTCATTCTTGCAAGGCAGAGGTAGTACCTGTGTTGTGTTTGCTACTCCTTTGCCCATCTCTGTAAAGTGCTATTATGCTTCAGTCTTGAGAACTGAGGTAGTTTCCTTCACCGAGTGAGAAGGAACAAAAGGCAAGCGTTTGTTTTCCTCATCTCTATTGATTGGTAGTACAAGTTGGAGGCAAACATGATAGCAGATAACAATGGCAACATGTCATTTTCGGCCAATTATTTCTAGGGCTAGGAAGTTGATCTCCAGAAGCAACAAACAACTGCTATGGGTAGTACAATTTCAGATGATCCGTTTAACTTGAACGTCCCATCTTTGTGCAACTTTTTAATTTATCTTTTGCACGCATTTCCTGGAAGGGGAAACCATGGAAACATCTTCAATTCAGCTTTTCTCACAAGGAAAAATATCACTACTTAAAAATGAAAATGTGGCATCATTTGATTTGTCTTTGTTCACAACCTTCTGGGAGGTTTAATAATTTCTTGAAAGATCTAACCTCTAGTCGAAAGCTTAATCGATTTCACTAAATGGTTGATGATGTTGGCATCCATGTTTGACAACTATCAGTGGTCTGGGTATTGAAATCCGATTTGGGATCGTGTTCTTGCTCTGCTCGGCCAGTTGCAAATCATCTATAAATAAATCAGAGTACTCTGCCCACACGTTGC